CCATTTCACTGCGACCAGCCTCGCCTCACCCTCAACCAAATGCGACCGTCCTCCACGTCCCCACTGCCCCCCCACATGCTGTCCTACAGCCCGTCGCTGCCCCTTCCACTGCTCCACCAGCCTCCCATCCTCCCCTCTTCTTTCACACAACCTCCTGCTGGACTCCTGGACCTTCCCTCTAACCTCCCACAGCCCCTGCTTCCCCTTTCTCCACGACCAGCACCCCGCACTCAGTCACAAACACACAGTCACAACCCTTTCCTCTGAGACTCTAACATCTTGCAAGCTCTGGTCTGCAGAGAGAGACAGAACTGACTCTTTTTGGGTTAATCTATGCTAACTGCAATGAGACTAGTTTAAGCGAGCCTGAACTGGGTCCTGGTCTGATGTCATTGTGCACACTTGAAGTAGACTCGGATGGGATGTATTTGTGTCTGTGTAAGGACACAACAGCTGCTACTTAACCTGAACTCTTGAAGAAAAGCTCGCTCACGCACACACACACATGCACTCAGGCGCACTTTAGGGTGCACAGACACAACAAACATGTACACTGCACCAAACTAACAGGGTGTATCTCAACAGTCCCTCTAATGCCTTTTCCCCATCAAAAGAGACAACTCCAAGTATCTTTTCAATCCTGAACTTTTCCTTTAAAAGCCTGGGATGAAGCCACACTCTTTGATTGTCTACGAAGCTTCACCAGGATCCTTACCGCTGCTGCTTCACCGACAAAAGCATGAATGCCTTCCCCACCCAGGATTCCAAACTACGCTACTCTCTTGAGCACCTGAGATGAGCTCTTCAAATAGATCCTATTTTTTCAACAAGTTGACATCTAGAGCTTTCTGTCACTTGAGAAAGTCCAAAAGTGTGGTACTGTAAGATTTAAGAAAGCATAGACAAGAACTAATCAATTCCCTCCCACCTTTACATTATAATATATATTTTGCATTGCCTTGCTGCCTTGCAATCTCAATAGCATCTGATCCTAAGTTAGCTTGGTTATTTATCTTTCAAGATAAGAAGCCTCAACATGATCCTGATGGATTCAAAACTGGACTAGCCTAGCCTAAGTTCAATTGTACAATCTGGCACTAAAGTGATCACTTCTTTAACCCCCCCCCGTGCCTGTCTCTGCATCTTACCCACCATGCATTCTTAACCAGTGCATGCTAGCACTAGTTAGGGGAGGGGTGTACAACTAATTTCCCCCACAGGCCACATGAGAAACTGAGACTGTTTGGAGGAATGTACCGATAAGCCAAACTCAGTTCTGCTGGGAAATAATGTCGACTCTGTATATGCTTATGGGGCGCAGCCCTTCACAACAGTCCCGATTACTCATATGGCCCTTTGGGAAAATGAATTGGCCACCCTGAATTAGGAGGACCTCAGGGAGACTGCCCCTCTTTCAATGCGATTCAACCTCACTAAATAGAAAAGTATTTGACTTTAAAAATAAACAGGAGAATAGGTGATTTAATTTTTTTCTGATTAAAAAACGATGGGAGGATGAGAATATATACAAGGAAGCAAGGAGACGTGACGGAACAGATCTAAATGAAGTTATTACAGATTATAGAACAATTCATTGAGCTGTAGCTCCTCTTCTCCTCTGCTCCTTGTTCATGTCAGTGTTAGGAACAAGAGAATCTGAGATGAATAAGAGATGTTTGGTCATTACTGCACTGAACCTGGACTTGAATGTGAAATGCCTGCCTATAAATACACACAGGCTTAGTACATATGTATTTAACAGAATGATAATGCTGTATTATTAACTATTATACCAATAAATTGATGGTGTTTGCATTATAATTTCTGAAGTATTGTCTTTTTTTTTTTTTGTATAACCCCTTTTTTGAACTATGACCACTAGATGGCAGTGCTGTGTAAGACGGTTTTAATGCCCTGCATGTTTTGCAGCAATGCAGTCTGGGCAACATCACCCCTGGGATATAAGACAGATAGGGTTACTTGTCTGGTAGTCAGCACACTTGAAGTTCCAAGAAGCAGTTCAAACATTTCACGGTAATCACCATGTTGATTGTTGCACCATAGCAGCTGATCTCTAGCCATGTGCAAACAAGCTTTTAATCCAACCAAACATCTTACTTGTTGCACATAAATTTATGTAAGGAACTGATTAACTCTATTAATCATCTAGCTTTCAGAAGATGTTTGCAAAGATCTTTTCATATGTACAATTTAATCTACACATGCATCAAGAAGAAACTGTAAAGAAATCGATTCCTCACACTGTAGTTTGTTAACATTTTTAAAACAAGACATCAGAACCCTGAAAATTAGACTTTTAGTGTCACAGGCAGGTCTTTGGACTGCCTTTGCTCGGAGAAAAATCTGAGGGGTGTTATGAAATGAGAGGGAAAGTTATATTTCCATATTAAGGTTCTGCTATCATTAGATATTTTCCATTTATTACCCATTCATAATGGTATTTGTCAGCTTCCTATCTGCATGGCTCCTGTACAAGATCAATTAAAACAACTAAAAGGGCTTTCTTGCAAACTCTCAATAGGTCAAATATCTGGGTTTCCAAAAGTGAAACTAAATGAATCGAGAAAATCCAATCATGCCTGTACACCCAGAAACACTCGTACACTTCCCTTTCTCTTTAATGTCTGGCATTTCTGTCCAAACAAAATCAAGTGCAGTCTGATCACAGATCTAAACAGCTGCAGTCTCAACCTTCTGATACAGTAAATCAACTGGTGTGCACATTTGATATACAACATTGCCATGTGGTGTTGATTTGGTGAAGGCAGGGGTGGGGGGTAAACAGGCAGCAGTGAGTGATTGTGGGAACAGTTGCAAGTGTGAGTGAAGACTGTGCTCTAATGCAAAAGTACCGATTAGGTTCTTAGAGACCTTGTGGGCCTGCATTGCAAGGAAATAGATAAACTTCACTTCCAGCCAGTACATAACCTCTGCTTGAACCTCTAATTGTGTTTTAGTTAATCTTGCATGGCTTACTACGACTATCTATCTCTATCAGTCAGAAATTAATATCTGCCTTGCTTCATAACCTCCAGCGCAACAGTCTAGTGAAGATAAATAAGACTGCCGTTTGCAGAGAGAAATAAGAGACTGATTACACATACAGGCACGCATCCATAAGAGCAAACGGTCATTGTCGCAGGTGTGGGCCTACTGGTGTTGGCCAGAGGGGCGGATGGCGCGATATGGCAGCCTCGCTTCTGTCAGTCTGCCCCAGGGCAGCTGTGGCTACAACCGTAGCTGCCTCCACCAGTGTGTGAATGCGAGAGTGAATGAATAGTGGCATTGTAAAGCGCTTTGGGTGCCTTGAAAAGCGCTATATAAATCCAATCCATTATTATTATTATTATCTGTGCATTGAGTCTAAATGTTATCTAAATTCCACTTATCATACATTAAAAAAATAATTCCTGGTTTGGACCTCATCTGATGACACTAGCTGTTGTTCCTGGCCTGCAGTGAAGCAGCTGTCCAATTTAAAGGATCATTCAGAGTTATAGATTAAGCTAAGCCTGACTGAGATGTTACAGTAACATGGGAACAATTAGTCTCAGCATGTGCACATAAACACAGTGTGTATTCACTTAAAGCAGTTTTTTAAACGACATCCTGTCCATGCAATGCCCTGATTAAGGAGGACCGTGTGTGTGCAATAAAATTCAGAACTTCATTAAAAATTATCTCAGGACATTAAACCAGAAGAGGAAGGCAGTTTATGTCTTCATAAAGTGGATAATATACAAGTTAAGCAGCTTGGTTCCTCTAGGCTTTTCTCTTTTTATTGCTCATGAATGGTTTTATCAGTGCACAAAAAGAACAAATGAGGATTATTTTGAGAATAACAAGGGGGTTTAGCAATCTATACAGTGGAAGTGAAGCTAAGGTGTAACAGAGTTTAGATATCATGACTTCAGCATCACTAATTCCTACACACACAGACAATCTTCCCTTGTGATTCTGTTACTTTTGAAAATAAAAACTATGATATAAAACAATGGCCCATCCTGTTTTTCTGTCTGCTCACCAAGACAAACATCCCATGCTATGGCTGCCAACATTAACATGAAAAACACACTGATCTGGTCCCTATTCAACATGAGAGCTAAGAGCTGCACAGTTGTATGTCATCAGTGCTGAGTCTGACCAAACAGAACAAAGAAGCCAGAACGACACACCCAGCTGTTTACTTTAGTGAGTTATAGGGATAAATCTTCTTCCATTTACTTGAAAATAAAATTTTAAGATACTAAGATACTACAAACAACGCATCGGTGACATTAGCAGAGTGTATGACTTAGTCTTTTATTGTGCCAAGAACAAATCAAGCATGAGGCACGGTTGTGCTTTAAATTAAAACGATGATGAAATTTGTTTTATAAACATTTAAATTCATTTTAATTACCCGATAATGTATGTATTATTAGTTGATTTAAAGGATTGGGTCCTGATAGATAGATAGAATTTTTTTTTATTTATTACTTTACTACTTTTTCACATCACTGTAGATAGATAGGTCGATCGATTAAAATAAGTAAATAAGACAATAACCATAGATAACTATAATAACTATAAATAAACTTATTGTACGAGTCACTTATTTATTTATCCATTGTGATATATTTTACTGTAGAATTTTAAGTAAGAGATTAGGCTTCTGTTTTGTAATTTTGCGCAATGGATTAATAACAATAATAAATATTAATGAAAAGGGGAAATATATATATATATATATTAATATTTATATATACAAGCAGCAAAATATATCCCAATAATATCCAAATAGCTTGAATTAGACAGTTTGTTTAATAATTAAGCCTCATCCTACACTTTACCGGTGCCATGTTTTCAGAAACGCGGTATCTTCAAACAAACAGCAATACATACGCTTCGTCTACGTCACCGCTTTAGATGATTGACAGTGAACCGCAGCGAATCCGGTGTCTGTCCGTGTTTTGCATGAGCCAATGAGCGTCCGGGAGTCATTATTTGCGGAAGTTATTAAACTGCTAGCAACACTGTGGGTTTGAGCTACATCTTTAGGATAAATTGTCACGATGTCCGCTGTTAAAATTCACAGGAGACCTTTTAGGTGATGTTTGTAGTAGAAATGGGTCCACTTCATGTTGAGAAGTGTCCTAAAATGGCTTTGCTTTAATCCACGTGGATTTCGCGTGTCTGCCTGCCTTTCTGTACATGTACACACATTTGCAACCATTTCTTATAGCTTATATTCTATACCCTCGAGTTAGCGGTCGCTTGGCTACTTTTTATATTGGCCCCATGAGACGTAGCGAGGACACGGAGCAGCAGGTCAGGGAGTCAGAGGTCGACATGAACCCGCCGAAGCGGCTACGCACCACGGAAACACTGACAGGAGGCAAAGAGCGGGAGGTGGAGAAGAGCACTGTGGATGTGGTGGGTGATGATGACTCAATTTAATGTCGATACTGACATTAAGGAGAGTAAAAGTTATAAAAAGTGATATGGCCAGTATTACCACCCTAAATAGTTTGTTTACTGAGCATACAGGCTTATCCTCGTCTCTATTTCGGTGGTGTGGCATTTACTTGCGGTTTTAATTTGTTAAGAGCAAACTAATAGAGCAACAGGCTTGTCTTCTAGAGATACAGGGCTTGAAACGTAAATATTTGCTATAGTTATTTTAGGGAAACCATTACAGATCCTAATAATGAAAGTGGCATCTGTTGGGCTACACCAGTCAGCCACAGTATTTAAACAGTAGATGGACAGATGAATAAAATAACCACATATTACAGTGTAATGCACTCGGAAACATTGAGTGCTGGTATTTATGTGACTCTCACTTTGACACCCACACAAATGTTGAAATGTTGTTGCAAACCAAGCACTCCCCAACATCAACGGCCTCCAATTCAGCACAGGGCACCTAATGACAAGATGGAAAAAGCAAAACAAAACTGTTCCATTAAAAATGAAAAAGTCCCTAAATTATTTGCCCAGTTTCTTACCCCATGAAGGATTGACATGAAGTCTGTAAAACAAGCCAGATTGATGGAGATCCCACCCCAGAAATCCAGGACCCAAATTATCAGCACTAAGTACCACTGAATACCCCCACATGTCCCAAGTCTATACCTTAGTTGTGTCAGTTATTTTGGCAGCTGTAACAGGTTCAGTATAATATTAGAAAGCTGCTTGATTGGTCTGAACCAAGTTGTGCCTAATATACTGGAAACGTTGTACATATAGACACTGGCAATTTCAACTTACTTACTATATAGGAGTTTGACTTTTGTTATTTCCATGCCCTTTTGATTAAAGAAGTGCTACAGTTGCAATTTTACTCATTTTCAAGATCACTTCCCTCCTGCACTTCCAGTTTATACCATCCTGCTTGATTGTTGTTTTTGTGGTTGCCAAAGCAGCAGTTGAACTGAGTGTAAACTTTCTATTTGTGTCTTCTTTACTCAGAGTATTGTCATGCCAGTGTATAATGCATCATGCTGGCTGGATGAATGTCTGCAGGCCATATTGGTCCAAGATTTCTCTGGATCCATGGAGCTGTCGGTGTTTGATGACGCAAGCACCGTAGGTTTTGTAGGCATATTTACACAAGTGAAAGAATACATTGTCTCATAGTTTGAGACATCACTTAACTCTTATGCATGTGCGTGTCTTTTAGGATGACTCGAAAAAAGTGGTGGAAGGTTGGAGGGAGAGGCTAGAGGCAAAGGGCATCTCAGTGGTGATCTCTGGTCACAACTCTGAACAACCTAAAGGAGGTCAGTAACTTTTGGGATATGATCAGCAGTCAGTCCACGCTCCCAATCAAATTATGTGACCTTTATTTTGTAGTTGAACATGAAGGCCTTAATGCTAGTAGATGCTCATAATTCCCGTAACATCTTCCCAGTTGTTCCTATCACCATTTGTGGCAGCTAATGATATCAAATGAAAGCCATTGTTACATTCCCCAGAATAAACCACGTCTGAGGTGAGTACTGACAAGTTTCTGGGGAGAAATGGAAAGTATGTGAAAGAAGGGGGATTTATTTACATGTAAAATCAGTTTATATGAACATGGTTGACATAAAGACCAGCCATGCAGCAGCCCTTATGCTGAAACAACCAAAAACAAAGGCAAAAGTTCAACCAAACACAATCTCCAAAGAACAGTGAACGCTACTGAGCTCATTAACAAGAAGGCAGCTTGAATGCTGCCAAATTGGCCTACTGGCAGTAAATGAGCCATTTCTAACGGTCTTTATACTCTGGGCCCTGCTGATCAGTAGTGGGATCAGCTGCACTGAATCTGCACATTCAGCATTTCACGAGGGTTACTGGGTTGAACAAAATGTTTCATTGAAATTGTGTCCAACAGGCTTTGAAGTACTTTTACTTTGTTTGGTGACTGTCAGAAGCGTTACACAGTTAGTAGCGAGGTCTGTATACAGCCCACTGTATTAAAATAAGCAGTTCAGACAATAAGTCAGTTTCCATTGGTGCAACAGCTTATCAGGGGCCGTTTAAGATCTGGTCCTTAAAATCTTCCACTCTGTGATGAGTGTTGGACTTACTCTTGTGAATGCTTAATTAAGGAGAAGTGCAGAAATACAGTGCAACCTTTAAGAGACTTTTTTTTCCGTGACTGAAACAGGAACTGGTACTCTGCAGCAATTTATACTGATTTCAGATGGATGTGTTAAGTTCATGTCTCTTACTTATTTGTAGAATGTGCATTGTAACGTAGTGCAACACATTTCAATGCGCTACAATTTGCAGTACATTTGAAAGCCCTCAAGCTAGCAGAAATGTAATAAACGAGCCTTTACTTAAGCGCTAACACACCGGCAGCGCTTTTTCATGTTGTCTGGTTTGACAGTTCATTAATAATCCAAGCACACATTTAACTGTCTCACAAAGACATATTTAAAACCGTAAGAACAAATAAGCATGAAATGTTCTTTTGTCTTTCAGTGGGATATGCAAAGAATAAGGCCATATGTCAGAGTCGTGGGCAATACTTGTGCTTTCAGGATGCGGTGGGTGTGACCGAGTGTGCTTCATATCTTTCATATCACATACAATAGTATGTCCAAAATAATGAAATCATACCGGGGTGTTCAGTTATCCAGAAAATACATGCAAACAGATCTCAGCAGTCAAGTTACCGACTGATGGGCTAAACATGAACATGAAAGAGAAGTTTAAGTTAGATTAGGATAGCTCTGTTTTTGACACAGTGCTTTGTAGCTGCTTATCTGAAACACTCATCTGACACACTCATCTGACACAGCCAAAAATGAAAGCTCCAAACATCTGACAATCTTCCAACCTCTGATCGCCTCTGGCTATATTTGCTCTTATCTTTTGGAGTCGCATCATATCAACTTGGCTGTTTTCTGCTAACTTTTCACAGAAAACACTCAGTGCCTATGAGATTGGTTTATCTGAAAGCAGTCAACTAGTTCTGTTTATTCTTGTGACTCTTTTTCTGGTAATGCTGATATACTGATATATTTTACCCTCTTAAACTTTAAATACAGCCTTTATCTCAACCACGCTATGAAGATAAACTCTTGTTCTGTGCACATCAAGTTTTTTGCCTATTTTCTATCTATCATTGCAGTTAGACAGACCCCTCCGAGATTATTAAAAAATTGTTTTTTATGTTAAAATGCTAAAATTGTCAAAACTAACAATAGAAAATCCAACCCAAACCATTTTGACCAAGCTCTAATATAGTTCATTAAGTGCAAATGAAAAAGAATTGTGTGTATTGTCCATTTGTTGTCACGTGTTATTGGCATAGACATTTAAAATAATTATTTTCTTAACTTTAGGATGACATTATGTTGCCCCAAAGAATTCGTCTGCAGTATGAGGCGTCCGTCTTGCACAAAAACACTGTAAGTTCTCTCTTAAGCGTTTGCTTAATCACTTCCTTCCCTGTCTTTTCTTCTCACTTCTCTTCCTCCTCCTCTCTACCTTTCCCTCTGACTATCAGTGTTAAAATGAAAACAACAACAACAAAAAAGATATTGTTTGTGAGAGTGAGCATGTGCATGTGCATGCGTGCGCGTGCTGCTGTACAGTTGGCATGTAGAACAGAGTGAGTATCCGGTGTTGATGCTTTCTTTGACCTGGCAGGTCAGGGGTTATAGGTCATGTGTGTGTGGAAAATAAGGGCGACAGCATAGAGACAGCAGGCTTGCCGTCCTCCATAAACAGCCTGCCTGGTTCTGTTCCAACTGTAATTTTTTTATAGTTGTAGGTGAAAAAATGGGACCCGTATTTTGTTTTTCAGTTTTCTATAATCTCTCTTTATGTATCCTCTGATTCTGATGTAATTCTTTCTTTCCTTTTTTTGCTTGAATATGTCTCATAGGAAACACGATATGAAGCAGTAGTTTGCATTATTTGGGTGAAATGTATTAGAACTTTTAGATGACTTATTAGTTATTCTGCCAATAATATCTTAGTTTTTTTATTATCTGAAATAAAAAAATATGTTAAACAATTCTATTGAACTTCAAAATCAAGTTAATATTTCAAACTCAGCCTTCAGTCTGAAGCATAATTACTCAAATCATTGGAAGTTTGTGCAGCTCGATTTGCAAAAACAAACAAACACAGAAGCTCTCTGATACAGAATTTTGTCTAAAATGATTGAAAATGTTTTGGGTGGTTCTTGGAGTGAAAATTTTTATTTTACTCACAAAGTTGTGTATGTGTGTTTCCATGATAGCTGATTGGCTGCAGAGTCCAGCGGGTACCGGAAGGATCTACAGAGCGTTACACTCGCTGGATCAACACACTCAGTCAGGACCAGCTCATCACACAGGTAAATGAATGCAGCTTAGCGGAGCATGTTTTGATTGCCGACTAATGTGTTTTCGCATGCATATGTGAATGCGTGAGGTCACGTGACAGGCAGCTACTAGGTCAGTTTGAAACAGGATACATACCTGCTGTACGCAGTTTCCACGGAAATGTGTTTGTGGAGTGGAGAGAGGATGCTGCATCACTCCTGACCTCTCTGTCTATCACAATCCCAGCAGAGGAAACAGACCCCAGTGCCAGCAGTCTGCTGAGGGCAGCCTGTAGTGGAAGCTGGTAAAAGTTTTGAGCTTTGTGTAGAAAGCCTTGTGCAGCTAGCAAATCATCATACACAAGCACTTTAGTTTTATTATACTGTAAAGCTGTCTGAAAAATTGAGTACATCGTTTAAAAAAAATAAGAAAAAATAAGAAAACAGGTAGCTCACTACTCAATAAACCTACAAGCTTCAAACTGTTTCTGTGCTCCTTGTTATATTTCATACATTGACGGCATCTGCAGTCATGCCAAAGGACTCGTTATATATATAAACCCTGTGATTCAGTAGCTTGTAGAGCCACCTTTTTAAGCAATATCTTGAAGTAATTGGTTTCTGTATGACTTCATCGTTTTCTCACATCATTGTGGAGGAGTTTTGGTCCACTTGTCATTACAGCGTTGCTTCAGTTCATTGAGGTTTGTGGGCATTTGCTTATGCACGGCTCTCTTGAGGTCTTGCCACAGCCTTTCAATCAAGCTGAGGTTGGGACTTTGACTGCGCCATTGCAGCACGTTGCTTCTTCTTGGCTGCTGTGTTTGGGATCATTGTCCTGTTGCGTGACCCAATTTGGGCCAAGCTTTAGCTGTTGGATGGATAGTCTTACATTTAGCTCTAGAATACTTTGGTATACAAAGACTTTATGGTCTACTCAAGGTGCCCGCGCCCTGTGGTTGCAAAACAAGCCCAGGTCATCATCCCTCCACCAGGGTGCATGTCAGTAGGTATGAGATGTTTGTGCAGATATACTATATTAGGTTTTCATCAAATCTGACACTGTGCATTATGGACAAAATCTCCATTATTCTATTAGTATTGTGGACTCTTCTACCGTGCTCTTTTTAGAGGGATATAAGCCAAATAAGCCATGTTTGTTCAGTCTTTTTCTAATTGTCTTATGATGACAGTAACATGTAAGTTCCAAATTCATTGGTAAAGGGCTCCATAAAGACATAAAAGGTAATGGTGTTAAACATTCTTGACCTAAGTGCTGACTACATTAATGAAATTATGATTTCTGTCATAGATGGGAAGCCATAAGGTAACCAGTGAATACACCCTGATAGATGCATAACAGATGCACAAGCTGTTGGCCCTGGCAGGAGGAACTATGAACTAATCATGAGCCTTACTAATCACTCAAAGCCATGAAAGCATTTGGTCACTTGACCAGCTTGGCTACGTTTTTGCTGTAATTTATGACTTTATGCTTGTACTCATAATCAAATATAGTGGGCAAGATTTGAGAGGTGTGTCCACTTGTGTTTGCCATACAAGCGCTCTAAATAGGCAAATTCCAATACTTATTCACACTATAAGTATTGGAACATTTTTTTTAGAATTTCTTTGACGATGTGATCAAGTGAAAATATTTACCCAGTGTGTTTTTAAAAAGTTACATTATTCACGAAGTAATAAAAAAAACAGTGATATAAAAGTAAAACCCCTGGAAGTATGTCTGTTTTTGAAGAGATGGAAGTCTGCTGTTTCTGACTTAACAAAACACGCTGTCACTAAGGATACAAGACAACCTGGACTGGCTCACTCTCCCTAACACACACACACACACACACACACACACACACACACACACACACACACACACACACACACACACACACACACACACACAAGGTCTGCATAACTCCTTAGCAGACATTCCAGGATATTTATATGATATTAAGTTTCATGGAGCATGAGAATGAGATCATACATTGATTCTGCAGTCTTAAAAGCCGCTCCTTTTCCTTTTCCTTCCCCTTCTCTTTCTTGACTCTATCTGCCTTTGCTTTTACTTTCTTGACAAAGAAACTGGACTTAACCGAGTTAAACTTTAAAATTTACATTGAGCACTGCTTCTTTTACTCTAACATTCATCTGTAGGGCATTAGATATGGTTGTCTAAAATGTTCTCTACCCGTCTGATTACTCACGTTCACCCTAATGCTCGCAGTCTTTCCCAGAACTTGGTCTCTTATTCATGCTTTTGGCCACAGCTTACATCTGCAAAATGTTGCAATATTACTACAGAAAGGCAAAGAGATGCACGTAGGCGGACACACACACATGCACACACACTCATACACTCCAGATTCTGTCCAGCTGTTCAACTGCCTGGATCCAGATGTTTTGCACAATTATTTTCATCTGTGATGCATTTCTGTTACGCAGTAGTATTTCCACTTCAACCATGAACAATCACACAAATACAAATGCATATGCACACAGTGTGTAAGACAGAGTGATGTAGTGGGAGAGGGAAGTAGGACCACCTGAAATGACCTTTAGATTCAATATGCAAAAATATTACTGTTACAAAATACACACAGAGATGAGGAACAAGCAGGGGTGGGGAACTGAGAGGGGGCTGGGTGCTGGTGTAACAAATGAGTTGGGGGCCTGCATCTGTAAAAAGAGAAAGAAATATAGTGGACATAATCCGATCCTGATGTATTAAAAGAGTTTTGCGGTCAGAGAAACGAGGAGAAGCCAAAACAAACTCATTAGTCAAAGAATCATATGCGAGAGGATGGAAATGTGTATCCTTCCCCTGCACACTTCAGGAAGCACACACACTGCTTTAAGAAAGCACATGTGGCTGCACTCTAACCTATTTTGTTTTCAGGAATAGAACTAAACTTCTCCTGAGTGCAGCTTGTTGCTTAAATACTATTGCGAAATTTTTCAGAGCCAGTAGCTTCAAAATCCATCCAGTAAAGTTCGCACAATGTGAAATAACAGAAATAGTATAAGAAAATAAAAACATAGTAATTAATAACCTTTATTTACTGAAAGTGGCACAAGAAAAAACTTTTTTTTAAATGTGTTGATGTTGCCTGTGCTCCTCCTGGCACCCTGTGAGCTAAAGGTAAAAACGTGTAAAACCAGATGCATTAGATACATTCATTCTTGAATAAACATGTGCATGAAACCTTTTTCAAATGAATCTCAAGCACAGCAACACAAACAATTAATTTAAGTTGGACGGTGTGTAGCTAATATGACACTGTATATTGTCTCTTTATTAGGTTATTGACCAGAATATAGTCCTACAGATCTGCCACAAACTGAAAATTTATGAAATTCTAACAGTTTGTCGGTTTCAGGTGTACACCTCCCATGGGCCCAGTGTTGTCATGCCAACATGGTTCTGCTCACGGGAATGGTATCAGAAAGTTGGGCCGTTTAATGAGGGAGGCAAGGTAAGCATTCCTATTCCTCAAACTGACTCTCTGAGGTGTTGACAAACCCACTTTGTTGCTCTTGTCGACTCACCAAATGTCAGAAATAATAGTGATCGGTCACCTCTATACACCTGACCTGTCACTTCTTGAATGTATGAATTGGTTGTGAATGTCAGAAACAATTACCCAGATGGAAAGGTGTGGAAACGGAGGAGTTTTCAGACACTGTTCGAGCAGCTGATAAGAACATCCTTTAAAGCATTCGACTTCTCACCCCTACTCATATCAGCTGTTTTCACACATGAAAACTAGGAAATTCTGTGAAAATCCAACTGAAACCTTGCCTGACGTTTTCCTTTCTCACATCTAGCACACTGCTAAAAACACAATTGTTAAATGTTCTCACTATCAAAAATACATTTGATATCTGATATATAAGCCCAAATCCAAGAAAGCTGGGACGCTGTGGAAAATGCTAATAAAAACAGAAGGGAATGATTTGCAAATCCCGTAAATCCATATTTTATTCATTATAGAACACTGAAAATATATCATGTCATTTTACTGTTCCATGAAAAAGTGAGCATAACAACACAAAAGGTTAGGACAGGGTTTACGAAAGGCTTGAAAAGTAAGTGTTGCTAAAAATCATGAAACTACAAACAGGACAGACAACACCCAGGACTGTTAACCAGCTGGAGTCTTATATCAGATAAGAGTGCAACACGTTAATCTCCCAAACATCCAGCAACTGGTCTACTCCTTATTTGTGGACTGTTGTTAAAAGAAGAAAGGAACCCTTAATGTTAGCATGTAAATGTTGCTATATTGGATTTTTGGAATCAGAATTTACAAGATTTAGACTAGAAGGTAGTGTGGCAAGTTATCAGCTAGCACTTCCAACATGGACTAGCAAACTGCATCCATACGCTGTATGGTTGGGATGCACAGACATAGATGAACAACAATTTTACTCCCCAAAGCTCAAGCACAGAGTTCTCAGATGGTCTTTATTTAGCCGCATACCAAGTCATCTTATTTGTCAGACAATTCAGTTTAAAAAGCACCAAATATTCAGGAGGTTCAGTTTAGTGACTCGGATTAGTGGAGGTAAGGCCTAGCTGCAGCTCTGTGTTTGGGCATATGTCATATCATACCATAATTCTTCTTCTCTGTCTCCAGGGAGTCCCAGAGGATCTTCTCTTTTTTTACCAGAGTCTTCGTCATGGTGGGGGTCTGTTCCGGGTTGACCAGTGCCTGCTGATATATCGTTATCATGAGAAAGCAGCCACTCACTCCGTAACTGAGTCAGTCCAACCATCATTCCTCTTCAGCTGCATTCACACACACATACTTGGACATGGTGTTGATCCTCCACCTACTCACAGCTGCCCACTGGCATCCCAGATTTTCTCAGAGCTCACACACAGATATACTCACACACATACACAGACACGTGTTTTAGTAAGCTTGAGTTTGTGGAATTTCAGTCACTTTCCCAGCGTATGAATCAGGAATTTCTATGCGTTTTCTTCTCTCTGTGGAATGCTCAGTATCTGTCCAGTGGTGCTGGGAGGGAATCGGATCGCGTTGTGAACAGAAATGTTTGACATATTGCGTAGCGTTGTGTGTGCGCGTGTGCACGCGTGTGTGTGAGGACGTGTGCATTCCTGCTGTTGCCTGTGCATCAGCATGCAGTCTCTGCAGGTGTGTTGGTCTGTCTCTAAATCTAAAACACACCAAAGAAAAAGGTCTTTCCTGCCTTCTCTCCACTCACACTGCCTAACCTTTCATCCCTTCTTTCCTGTTATCCCACCTTCCTTCCCTCTTTCCTTCCTTTCTCCCTTGCGTCTAACCAGTGCTCGTATATCTGCCCGTGTTGATGCACTCCTTCACCAATCATCCTCCTCTGTCTTCATCTATCATCTATTTTTGGAGATCTATTTCAAGCTAGACTGCCTTCCACTCTCCCCTACTTCTTATAACCCCTTCCCATGTACTGCCTACTTACTTCCTCTCTTTAGTGAAATGAAACCATTATCTTATTTTTGTCTATTTACGTCGATCTTGCTCATGCATGTAATTGTAGATGTGCTAAATGTGAGGTGTGAAGTCTTTTAAAAGATACTGCCAAAAGGTAACTGAGTTGGGAGGCTTACTTACACAGAAATGCACTGTTTGTAAATGAGATGAAAAGGTTTGTGTGTAGTTAATCTCTACCATATTGCTGCCCTGCCTTAGAATCAAAGCCTGTATAGAGAATGCATAATAACCAAGGAATCTGGAGACCACCCGAGCTCCACGATGATGGTGGAATCGGGTTTGCTTGCCATATGAGGCCCAGTGCTTAAAAAAGTAAGAAGTTCACATCAAGAGATGAGAGTGAAGCACTTTCTGAGAATGTCTGCTTGATTTCTCATTATTAGTGCCTTTGTTTTAAAATGTGAGTAGAAGGGGGTTAAGCTTGTAAACATAGACAGATTTAATCTTGAGGGTGTGTGTGTGAGAGAGAGAGAGAACCCTGTACACAGTTGTGCAGAGGTTACAGGAAGTCAAACTAATTTACATGCATAAAATTTTCCATCTACTTAAAGCAACAGATCACAACTTAATAAATGTAGTACTTGCCGCTTTGTAAAGGTATGACACCGAAAGGATGGTTTAAATTTGTAGCTTTAGCTTTCATTTGTATTCACTGATCATTTACAATAGAGCACAACTAAGTTAGGCTGTCTCAATCAGACCGGTTGTAAACAAACTGACCAACATTTCATCAGCTGCTTTTTTTTTCGATCGGTCTTTGGAAGCTCTGTTTTGTACTCTTACACTTGCTCCTCCTCTAATCCCAGAGCTTTTGCAGTCAGTGTAAATGATGACTGCTCAACTTAAATCTAATTTTTGGGGAAGTGGATGAAGGGATTCAGATCTGGCGAGAAGGGTAGGCGATAAGAGAAGAGGGAAACAAGTGGTTTTGATGTATTTTGACTACAGCACATGTTACAGTTCACCAATGGTAAATATTCTTCCTCAGCCACTTTAAGGAGTTACAGTAGAAGTCTTTGTTTTTTTTTTGTGGGAGATTAATTGAATCTAGGAAAGTCAAATACACAACAAACATACTCGTAGAGTCTTTTACTGAAAGCTGTTGTTTAGTCCTTAGCTCATAGCCTAAGAGCCAGCTCATGTCACTAGTAGTGACTCATAACGTGAAAGTTTGCTCATTTTGACTCAGTAGGTGATACTTGCTCTTTGAGCCTCGGTGTGAAATCGCAAGTACAAGTGGTCAGAGTGGGACTTCCAGAGAGAAATCTCTAAAAAACAAACAAAAAAACCCCAGAAACTGTTAAACAGGTTCAGAGGGGAGCTTCTCCCAAGACCTTCAGCTTCCTTGAAAGTGTTCAACCTGCTGCTTAGATTCAACTGCTTCTTTCCTCACACTAAATAAAAAGAATCTCGGAGTTGTACCAGTGACAGTCTGATTAATTTAGACTTCTCTGGCCACTCTGTTCACAGAGAGACTATTTGGAAGCTGCGAGTAGACTTCCTGCAGGAGAGAGTTCTCAGCCAATGGGAGAGCTTCACCATATGGAACGCTGGTAAACAAGGCCGAAAGCTGTACCGATCGCTTAACCCAGCCAATCAGAAGAAAGTATGTTGCCTTCAGATGGAAATAACCAGCCAAATCAACCTGCTTCCTGTGTCTCAGTAGATACAGATAATGAAAAAAGTTGTGAAATGCGTGTTTGAAATTTGTGTCATTCTGTTATTTTAGGTCAAGGCTTTCTGTGATGTGGATGAGAACAAGATCCAGAAAGGCTTCTATACATACGAGGAGTCCAAGGTGAGATCATATTTGTTACATTAAACAGGTCTCCAAGATGGCTTTATTCCAGTGATTTATTTTTTATTAACCTCTCTCGTGTTCCCGTATCTTTCTAGGAAAGGCCTAAGCCAAAGATTCAAGTTCTGCATTACAAAAACGCCTCCGCTCCTTTCATCATCTGTGTCAAACTGGTGAGCAAAAAGCATGTTTGTGTGTTGTATGTTTGCTGTTTCTGACCATCTGTTCCTCAGGTCTGTAATCTATGTTAACAACATAATGATGAAGGGCGTGTGCCCACTGCACGACATAACACACACAAACACAGGAGAGGCTGTCAGGAAATGGGTAGAGACAGCAGCCTGATCTTTGATCACATGATGCTTGTACAAACATTACATGTTTTTGCCACTATTGTGTTTGCATATAACACATATCATGGTTTGCATTTTATACTCCAGATCGTGGCAGTACACATAGGCTATACCTAGAACAATGGCAGTTTCTTTTTATTCATTGGTTTTCAGTATGTAATGACACACACATCCATTGTGGCAGTTAAATCACGTAATATCTATTTATCACACAGCCAAATTCAGATTCAAATCTATGGTGACCCCCACCCCACCCCACCTCAGGGGTCTACTAATTGCTCAATTATGGGAATTGGGAGAAGTAATCAGAGTCGGAGGAGATGGAGACCTGGACCCAATCATTCTCTCTCTTGTTCTCTATGACATCCACATAAACAAACACCTGGACTCAATCACACTGGGTTTACACCCAGGTGTCAAATATTTATTATCAGCAAATATATTGATTTCAACTTTTCTCAAAGACTCTGGTTCAACCTAAATTCCTTTAGTTTAGTCAAACATTTATTGTTGTATTTCTTTTGGCTTAAAGCTGAGGGAGTCTATCATGTTTTTCTATCATTGGTCAAATTCCATAAGGACCTTTTAGCATTTTGTAATTCAAGTAGCCTCAAAAACAAGACTTCTGCAACTCCTCTTGGATCTGTTCAGGATTTTGAAAATTTGGCCCTTGATAGGAGAGTTTGAAGTCACAAGAGACGGGATGTTCCAAAAAATTGTTGTTCAAATCAGGCATTCCTTCATATAAAGGAATGCCTGATTGAGTGGCAGAAAATCCTGCAGGAAAATTTGATATTCCAACATTAGCAACAGCTGCCTGCACTGGACAACTGGTGAAAAAAAAAGGAGCAAATCTATCAAAACAAGAGTGTCAAAGATGGTCTGATAAGTGCAATAAATGTGCTAATATCAGCATTTCAGAAACATTTCTACTGTATCAGCTTCAAAATGCACATCGAGCATGTCATTCTTTTCTTGCATAGTTAGTCTGTTAACCTTACTTTCACATGCAATCAAAGGTAACAGCTAGCTATGTAAAAAGCTCAATGACACAGTGACACTCCCCCCCTCCCCCCAGTTTAAAGACAAAGCTGCAGGAAAAGGTTGTTTTCTCACTATTTATTTCCTTTTCCTTCTTGCTTGCTGCTGCTTTAAGTAAGAAACACCAAGTCAAAAGAATTCTGAAGTCCACAAACCCTGATGGCTGATTTCAGACTTGAAAGAAAATGATGATGTTTGTGAATGAAAGTTGTGTTGTAGAAACTGTGGCCTGCCATGATGTTTTCTGTTAATGTTCTTTCTCTCGTGGCATCTTTTCATTCGTAGGACATGACTGGAGGCAACCTGGAGGAAAATCTAAATTCTTTGCAGCTAAAGGAAGGAATAGATTATTACCACTTCAACTGACTGTTCAGGGAGATGGGGAAGACTGGAGGAGGCTTGCAGGTTAACAGGCAGTGGAATGCAGAGGAATACGTCACTTTCACATATATGCAAACTGAGAAGTAGGCAGGTCATAACAGGAAAAGAGTGAACACTGGAAATAAGTGCACATTTACAAAGATGAGGGTAGGAGATGGCTGTCGTGTATTTTAAGTCTTAAAATGGGTTAAATGCCATTTTTTGTAGTTTCACTTTGATATATCGGCTAATAAAGTCACAACAGGATATCCCAGCTCTGACTTTTTCTGACCCTCTCCTTAAGCATAGCACAAAGGTTTGTAAGGCTAATTCCACATTTCTTGCTGAGTGATGAGTAATGGTTGATACCAGACTCGTATATTACAAAAAAGAAAATATAAAACCAAGTGAAATTTAACATAGCTTAATTTAACAACAATTACAGCCTAACACCTTTGAGTCTCCTCATCTTTAATACATACAAAAATGAACATAACAGGTCAAATGGAAACAAAACAATTTAGTGTCTTACAAAGGTGGGGACAGATTTACTAAACAGGCCAAGGTGTGGTTATTTTATTGATTTACAAAAAAAGGCACTAAGTTCATTTCAATATCAAGCGCAAAAAATAAGACCTGATTTTTTTCAGAATTAAATAGCTGTGGAATTAGCAGCTACTGACATGTCGTAAACATTACTAAAATAGTTTGGATGCTTGATTTAAATATTCTCCTCCCTTTATTTTGCGCCTTGAGAAAGGAACTCCCTGAAATATGCATGCAACAGGTTTAGCTGTGATAATACACTAAGCTAAGCTGACTGACTGCTGACACGTTTATTATTATTTTAAATTAAAAAGCGTGTGTATTTCCCAAAATGTTAAACTGACACTTTTAAAAGCAAAAAGTAACGATGAACTGAACCACAGCTGAAAGAGGCAGCACAAGGGAAGATATGAAATGATAGAAACAAATGTGAAGTTCTGAAACCCTTGTACTTTACAGATGACTGTTCTATATCATGCAAGAGGACATTGCCAGTGTTCATTACTGAAGGAATAAAATATCACACAGTCTGTGTGAAGCCAGTTCGATAATTGCCAACCTGTATTCTTGAACTTGTAACTGAAGTTAAAGGGAAGTGCAGTCATGACAGAAAGTACAATTTATAAAGGGTGGGATGTTTTATGACTACATTTCTTAACAATTGTTCCCTGATGCAACTGTGTAAAATCAGATGCACGCACACATCTGCAAAGAATGTGCAAACACAGATTCAGCTCACATTTGTTTCTCTTTCCCTGGGTCTCTTATGAAATCTAAAGAACAATAACCTCTTTAAGAGGGCACAATTTTGATACGTAAACACATAAAAAAAACATTTATGTTACCTCACAGAGTGAGGAGTTTTTCTGCCCAAAGGTAAACAGACCTATCCACACAAAATATCCCCCAATGTTTGCTGGTTTGGCGTCGCGGTTTGCATTACTGTAAATTTGGCCACAACAGTTTAAAAGGCAGCGATGGTTAAAAAAAACGGTCGTCATCCCTACCAAAGTTTTATTTTCGCTACCTTTGTTATCATAGGCACAAAGTGACACATAATCACTGCACCACATTAGTAGGTAGGATTGGATTTAGTGTTGGATAAATAGCAGGAGTGAGTCAGGTTTGAGGTGAAAGCCCCTTGCCTCTGCCACCCACACCGCACAGTGCTTTGTTTGGGCAGAGAAAAAAAGATTCACATCCACTTAGCCACTAGCTTCTATCTACACCCCCTCTTCCCTCTCTCCTTTAAACTCAAAAACTTAAAGGAACAGTACAACCAAAATCAGATTTACCCATTTTCCACCTCCACCCTGGAGTGCGTTTTATCCGTCCAGAGTGTTGTTTTGATGTGAGTTGCCCCGTTTTGAAAAAGCAGGCTGTAAAAATGTCTGTCTTTGATATAATAGAGCTAAATTAATGGAGTTAAATGGCACATTTTAGTGTGCTGGGCAGATTGTTGTGTCCACACCAATGACCTAGGCGATTAAAAAAATCCCGTAACACAGAATGATTTTTGTAGGAATTATTTTCTTTCTACTGTCCATGTCCACCGAAAAAGGAGAGTGCAGCTAGCTGATATTACATCTCAGCTGAGTGTGGGACACCATTAATGCTTATGTCCTGCCGAGCTGTCGCCTACTTTTTGTAACAGGTGGATGTATGCTTTGTTCTGCAGATCGATAAACACAGCTGGTATAGTTTTTACAGTTCTGATCTCCATAAAAAAAAGTGCCATTTAGTTCTTTTATATTCAAGAGAGGGGTTAATGCGTCTGTAGCTGATTTCTCCAAACAGAGTGACTCACACCAAAGTAATGTAAAAAACCCAAAACAACAACAACAATGATTTGGAGGTGAATTTTCCCTTTAGTCAACAAGGCTTTTCCAGAGAGAGACTTTGCATGTGATTTGGGGTTTTTTACATAAATGATTTGCCGTTTTGTTTAAGGTGGGGCATATTCGAAACGTAACATTTATCTGCTTCCGAATGCAACCCGTCATTCAAAGTATGTGCAGTCATAAAACTGTAATATTCTTTGGATGAATGAACACAAAATATTTGAGAACAAGCTGTTTAAGTAAGACCGCATCCTGTCTAAATAACGCACTTTTTAGCCAGTCTGCCCTCATGATGAAGCACTTGGTGGATGATCAGAGTGAGCTCTAATGGAGGATCTATGAAAGAGAGTAAACAGAGCTTTACTCAGTGTATACACTCTGGTGCTCTGCAGACATCAGACCTCATAATGCACACACACAAGCGGACCGAATGACCCTGACCCCGGAGCCTGCTTGCCCTCACTGGTCAAATAAATCTACGCGTGTGTAGAAGAAATATACACACGCATTCTTACACAGCTGCATGAGCTCTGGCAGTGCAGCTGATAAGAAAAAGAGATAAGAGAGTGGAGTGTTTGAATGAAGGGGGGTCACGGGTCAGAGACTGAGGGCTTTTTCATTCACCTGGAATGATACAGCATTCCTTTGTTTCGACTTCTCCCTCCAGAAGAGGTTTTTGTGTCTGAAAAGAAGATGCACATGCATGCTGTGTAAAATGCTGCACTATAAAGAGAAAGCACACTGACTATTTGCAATAATTACCATCTGTTTTACCATTGGAAGTGTTATGCAATAGCAGCGTATAATCAAATTAAAAGCAACTAACTGGGCGGTTCGATTTTTAATCGAATCTCTACGGAGCCACAAAAGGTCTTTGAACCTTATGATGAAGGCAAAGCAGCCTGTTTAACTATAAATACTTTGGCTCTTCATTTTCATTATTACAATGTCATGTTTTGTGGCAATTATAGGCCTAAAATAACAAAAACTGATACCTTTGTTAATTTTATCACCAAATAGGTCCTTTTCTACGATTCTTGAGCACCCACAGCACTTTATACAACATGCTTCATTCACCAGTGCACCTTTTTTTCTATGTCTAAATTCTCTCTAACTCGAATGAAGACTTCGGAGAGCAGCGTGGGGTTCAGTATCTTGCCCACGGATAGTTTGGCATGCAGACTGGAGCAGTCACAGATAAAACCACCATCCATCTGATCACTAAAAAACATGCTGTAACTCCTGAGCTACAACCACCAGCAAAACAGAACTACTGTGAAGTGGAAGAAAAAATATCTATTTGCATGTACATTCCTACTTTGAAATAGTAACTACAAAGCTGGTTGGGCTGGTCTGATTGGCCACACAGAAGCCCTTCCTTATGAGGTTTGCATGTTCTCGCTGTAGGTGTGTGGTGTTACATCAGGTACTCCAGCTTCCTCCCAGAGTTAAAAGACATGTTAGGTTAACTGGTTATTCTAATTTGGCCACTGATATGAGGTATATGAAATGTTTCAAGTGTACAGAGTAAACCCCTTAACAAATGTATGGTCAAATGATCAGCAAGGCCAGAAAATTGCTAGACATTTACAAGTCCTTAAAGCTAATACCCTTCCTCTCAACCTCCGCACATCTGATTCCATTGCACTGTTCAAATCACGATTAAAAACCCACTTATTCAATCTTGCCTTTCCCTCTAGTTAATATTTCTTTTATGATTTTATATCATGCACTTTTATGCTCATTTAAATTCTTGTTTGCTCTGTACCCCTTGCTTTCCTATGTATGAGTGACAGTTATCTGCTTGCATACTTAGTACTTGCTTTGGTCCTATTTCTATTATCCTCCTCCTATTCTCTATCTTACTTGTTAAGCACCTTGGCATACCCTTGGTTTTTAAGTGTGCTTTATAAATAAAGTTTATTATTATTATAATAGCTGAAATTTAATTTTTACTCTGACATGTACCATTAAGACCTCAGCATCATTAGCAGTGAAAGAAATCAGGCCACAAAATGTCAAATACTGATTTCCTCCATGATGTCTTTGGGATATGAAATCTATAGTCATGCAGTCTTGGACATGACTATCCAGAAATGGATAATCTTGTGCAAGACTATGCATTTCTGTGTATACATCCACAGTAGCTACTGCCATTAAGACACTGCAAAATTAATTGGATCGGGCACCAGGTGATAGGTGTAAACCAAGACAATTATGAAACATTTAAAAAATTTCAGAGTACCTCAGGTTACTGGCTGGTAATTAAACATTTACACTGCATTGAATGACTCGAGAAAGAAGAAAATTGTGTTTGTAGAAATTGTGTTTATTTATTTTTGATCGGTTGTAGTGATGACAATTCTGCTCAACATATAAACAGTATAAGAAAACAAATCATTACAGTCTACAGCGAAGTAGATGCTCAGCCCAAAAATCATATTCCTCACTTTCACTGTCTCACTGTCTTCCTTTGTAGGGAAGCATGAAGTGGCGTTTCATTGGCGTGGGCTCAGTGTTCCTTCCTTTTATTCAACAGCTACTGTCAAGCTGCCACGCTCAGCTAGCTCGTACGTAAATTAGGATTTCTTAATAACAAAAACAAACCAAAAAAGACTGAGAGAAAGGAAGTAAAGGCCACAAAGGTTGTAATGGGAGATAGAGCAATTGTGTGTTTGGCTCAGTGAGGAAGAAAAGTGTCGACAGACGTGGCGTTCCTCCTGTCAGTCTGCTTGAGAAGAGCCAGGTGACTGCAGGGGAGAAGGTCAGAGGTTCTGCTGCTCTGTAAATACTTCACATGGTGCAGGAGCATCTGAGGTCAAACAGCACATCAGAAAGAGTCCTCTGTGGTGGTGACAGGATTAAACTCGAGAGTCCCTGTGTAGGCAGTGTCTACCCCTATTTCAAACCTAAGGAGAGATGCATTTTAAGGATAAGCACTTGTTTACTGATTCATTAACAACGATAATTATATTGTAATACTTTGTATAAGCCCTTTCTGAGAGCGTTTATTCACACAGTTGTTCACAAATCAATTCAAATATGAGTGCAAACATAATATGTGAGAGAAATATTTGTAAAGGCTTATAAGCAAACATCATACATATATAAATCCGCAAATACATTACCACGGTTACCTAAATCATTAAAGATCCCAACATTACCCTGGGAATCCCAACATAGAAATAACAGTAAACACTGCATCTAGACAGTGGCGCATGGAAATGATATGAACCTCTTGTATATATGCTTATTCTAAATTTGTGGTTTAGAATTGTCCAAATAATTTTTTTTCACAGCCTTGTATTCCAAAATATTCATATTACAAAGGAGGGTTATTCTTTACTGTATTTTTTTTTTTTTAATTTAATTTAATGTCAGAAATCCAAGGAAAGGGGCATTTTTATTTATCAGTTTCACAGGAAGGCATTATGGAATGTGTGTGTAGGGTGGGAGGGGGGGTTTAGAGGAGTTTGTTACAGCATTTCTCGAAATGCGTCAGATTGCTCTGGCTGTCCGGGGGAATGTGACGAGTCAGTAACATGCTTGCCTTCTGACTGTTTTCTCACGGGAAAAACACCAAAGAGACAAACAGACGCTTATGTGACCGTTTTTTTCATGTCATTTTTTTCTACAGGTTTGTATTTAGACTGAGGAAACCAAGCAGCAGGACTGTAATAGCAGCGGCGCAGGGACAAAAAGGGTTACAAAGAATAAAGTAACTCACGTGCGTCTTTGAATCGGGGTTAAACGTCCTAAAACATGACAATAGAGGAAAAGCGCTAAAAGGCAAAGCATTGACTATTTCACATGTTTTAAGGGGGACGTTTGAGGGAGCTGCAAAAATCAGGCTGCTGCTCCAGACCTGCATGCTGATCTAATTTTCACGCTGATAATATGATCCATGTGTTTATAAAGCCGGCATGCACATAACCACTCACATAAGCAGTTTGAAGAAGAATAAGGGACCTGTTGGACTTCAAGGAAGCGCAAAGGTGCTTACCATGGTAGAAATGACACATTAAACTTGTGTTTGCATATATATGAAAACACATGCAAACACAGATTTAATGTGCCTCGTATTCAACTTTTAATTCTGCTGCTCCACTGTCAGTGTCTGCTGTATTTTATCTATCAATTCTTCCGTGTCATACAAACTAACACGAGCGTTTATTCCCAGTTAGTGGGTTCAGTTTTATCTGTGCATAGCTGGCCAGTACGTTCGGTGTTCAGCTTGGAGCTCTGTCTCATACACATATCTTTCCGGTGTATCTGTGGGAGTGGTTTGGAGTCAGCGCTCGCGTGTCACTCAAGCGGAGTCAGCTGCTGGCACGCGCCCCCGCTGCCGTGAAGCGGTGCTCGCAGAGCGAAAGTTTTTTTTTTTTTTTTTTTTGAATAGGCTCTGTTGTCTTGCTGTGGGCGCACTACTCCTTTTACAGACTTCTTGTCCTGATGCTTTCCAACCTCAGTCGCAACTTTTACCTCGGTTGATCCAGCAATGTAGCCCGCAGGCGTGCAGAAGAGTATTTTTGTGTGATATTTTAACTGGATACTTTTGTTTCGGGGGCTACAGAGCGCGCAGCTAGTTGGGCTGGTCTGGTGTTGTGTGGTTGTGCGGGATCCGGTGACCGCTGGGGCAGATAGGCCACCATGCTCCGGCCGTGGGCTGCGCACTGGGTCGCAGCTGTGCTGCTGTGTCGGGCGGTGGCACAGTACTCCAGCGATCAGTGTAGCTGGCGAGGAAGGTGAGGATGGAGACGAACAAAGGATTTGTGGTCATATCAGTTCAGGAGCAGATATATTTTCATTTGTGAATGTCAGGCTGATAATCTTGAAGCATTGCGCCGTTTTAAGTGATGGTACGGACAACACATGGTTCATTCATATAGGCGTAGATTATTAAGGTTTTGTTAAAACAAACTTGTGACTTAATGTGCTGTTTACTTACCCCGTGTTTTTCACAGGTGATGAAAGAAAGAAAATTCAACCGTGTGTTAAAAGGATAAGTGTTTCTTTGAGCCAGTTCTGTTGTTACGCATGGTTTTGGCGTTAGATGAGTAGTTTTAGTAAGATTTAACTTTATGTTCAAGAGGAGCCCTCATGGCTCAGAGTAAAATAAGTGGAAGAAATGTCAGTGAAAACAGGAGATGTTTTGGAAGTGCTTGTGGTTATTGCTGAGAAATGTAATGACGTCACATTTCATTATTAATCCTTAATTCATTTACTGGATTTTCTTTTTTTTTTCTTTTTCTTTCTTTTTTTTTTTTTTAGCTCAGTCAATACTCTCGAAAAGGAAAGTGTCAATATGACAAACAGATCATAAGAGTGATTTTCGTTGGTTTATTTTGACAGTGTTGCTCTCTATAGTTTCTCTAAAAATGCTTCCTTTAAGATTTTATGTATGCATGATCACAGGAATGTCTCTAATCTAGCTCCTATCTTAAGTAAATACAGCCACATGGCGCCTTTGATCACTCCTCCAAGTCCCCAAGTCATAAAAAATGAAAGCCTGTTCTTTACACTCTGTGTTGTAAAGTTCATCAGCCTTAAACTTCTAACAACTTAATTAGTCCCTGATGCTGAGGTGGCTTATCAGCACAAGAGACAAGTGAGAGATTTGCTGGCAGACAGCTGCAGGAGTTCTCCTCATTGGTCTTAATCCCTTCTATATGTTTCTTTAACTTTGTTTGTCCAGCACGTTCCCACTCCCTTTCAACATGTAAATGAATCAGAACGGTAGCAATATTGAAATGTATTGACTTTTGTATAGTATTTTTCTCTCTCTCTTATTTTCTTTACTAAATGTACCTGTATATTGTTTACATGTTTGAAATACATTAACAAACAAACAAACAAACATGTTACAGAAATTTCTACATCCACAAAAATGTTGTCTGGATTCTGTAGCCTAGGAGTACAATCTCTGTAGTACTGGTTAAAGGTTGATTTGATGATATTATATTATAGTCCTTTTACACAGCCATATGTGATTAAAAAAAACAAAAAAACATCGTCTTTTTCTCTACAGCGGTTTGAGCCATGAGTCCCATCGCAGAGATGTGGAGCAGGTCTACCTTCGCTGCTCTCAGGGATCTCTAGAGTGGCTTTACCCCACAGGGGCCATAATTGTCAACCTGAGACCAAACATAGAGCCTTCACCAGGTCATATGTCAGGTCTCCATGTGTGCATTAAACCTCAAGTTTACTCCCAGGTAGAGTATGAGACCAATGTTGAGAAACAAGCCTTAGTGTATAATCAGGAGTTCTGAATGTGTCTGCTTGGCCCACCTTGTTCAGGGTTCTCATGTGTACCTGGAGCATGCAGGGGATCTGAGGCTGCTGCTGGCAGAAAAGGACCAGGCTCAGGGAACAGTGCATTGTTTCAGCCTGGCAGAGGGGGTGCTATTCGTGGAGGCTATCCCACAGGCAGACATCAGCCGGAGGATCACAGCTTTCCAGTATGAGCTGGTGCCCAGTCAGGGGCCAGCGATGCACATGTTCCCATACCTGCAACCTGGTTTAGGTAACAGCCTGCATTTTTTTTCTTTTTCATTATTTTGTGTTTTGCTCTTGTGTGACTGGTGAAATTCATTTTCTGGTAACTTGATGTAATGCTGAGTCATTTCCTCTTGATGCATGCTACTTTTCTTAGCTCTCGGTATTCAGTACTCAGTCCCAGTATTCAGTGTTACTGTTCATAACATTCATTAAAGATCAAATAATGAAACCTATTTCTCTATTTGCTCAAATATCAAGCCATAAAATCCAGAATATTTTAGATTGATTTCACATAACATTAAAAATTAATTGACTTTGTTGTAAGCAGGGACTATATAAAGAACAGTTCATTAATGATGCAATAATAACCTGATATGTCAACATGGATTCTGGTAAGCTCAGAATCCATGTTGAGCATTCTTGTGAGAAATGATATCTAAAATTTAAATAATGAGCAGAAAGCGGTGACAATTTCCTAATTTTAAATGATACTTAAACACTGAAAAAGGACAAATATTCATTGTATTATGTAAACTCAAATAAATTCCCAGTGATTGCAGCTCAATTTTCACATGGTTTTGCAAATTGTCCACAATCTTTTGGTAACTTGGTAAAATGTTACTCATAGCTGGCAGTTTAGTAACGTGAAATGAGGCTGACAGACCAGAGCTGGAAAAGCAAAAAGGTTTGGTAAGCATGAGGCCTCATTACTGTTTCACCCTTGTTTCTTCATCCCACCTTGAAGTAGCCCCTTTTCTGACACTCCACCCCCCTCACACACTTCCTCACTCCCACTCTTCCCTGTATTAGCCAGACATATAAAAACAAGCAAGCCAATCGAAAGGTCTCACTAGGGTCAAGCACAAGGGTCAGCCAATCGTCTCCCAGCTGTCAATCAAGAGCAGATCTTCGCCACCCCCATTAGAACAGGAAAATTTGAGTAGCCCACCCATATGAGGGAAGTGGTGTTGAGAGGAACTGTGGTGGGTGGAGAGTCGCACTGGACTATCTTTATGAGAGCGAAGAAAGCCTTCCCAGTGAAACTTCCTGTCTGAGTGTGTCAGTGTGCCTTGGTGTTTTATAGCTGTTTTTATAGCTGGCAGGGTCAAGGGGTAATTCTCCAGCTATATCTCTTCCCTCACCTGCTGTCTTCATTCACATGCTCTCTATACCTCTTTTGATGTCTGATATCTAAGAAAAACCCACCAAGACTTTGAGAGTGAAATAGATTAATGGGAAACTAGATTAGATAAAAATACACAAACTAAGGAAAAATGTTTGTCTTTTTTATAGTAGCTCTTTATTAAAGTGTTGTTGTTGTTTTTTTTGTCATATTTTCAATTTCAGTCGCCTGCAAGCCTTGTTCAGATGAAGAGGTCCTCATGGCTGTGTGTACTAGTGACTTTGGTAAATAAATATCCACATGCATACAGATTAAATAATTGATTTCACATTTTGCAAAATATACTTTGCTTATTACCTTTGAAAGGTTTGGAATTTAAGCCTTGGATTAGATTATTGCCATTCAAGAAACTAGAAAGAAAATGTCCCACCAAAACTAAACTGGAATTATGTAGTGCAGTGTTGTTATGTTAAATTTATAGTACTGTGTTAAAATGACTCCATAGCTATAGCATAAACTACACACACATATATATGTATATATATATATACATATATATGCATAAAACCAACACGGCAAGCTGATCCGTACTTTCCCAGAAATGTAGGCACATGCAGTCCAGACTGCGACAGCTTTGATCAGTTTCCTAATCACATTGATTTGCTGCATAAACAAATCATATCAATTAGCACAAATGTAATCAGACATTAAACAAAATGTAATGGGATATAATTGTATCTCGCTTGCTCACAGTG